ATCAGTGATAATATTTTTTGCGTCACAATCTCATACCAGTAAATCAGTTTTGCGATCCTATTGGTAAGCGCCTTTCTTTCATTTTGGTACCACCATAGGGAAATAGTGCTTACTAAAGCTCAAACTGGGCCTATTATATGATCCTGCGCTTTGTTGAGAAGGACATGTTCCTGTCAGCAAATTATCAGCAAAGTTATGAATGGAGATTTTCGCACATTGGTTCGTGATTTACTGTGTTCCAGGATTCGAATATTGTGGAAGACATATGTGTGCGTTTCGTATTTTGCTGTCCCTTCGAACGTGGTCAGGCTATCCAGGCAAATGGTGCAGAGCATGGTCTGCCTCCTGTAAAGTCTGCGAAAGTACCGCTAGGAGCTGAGTTCCTCATAATTCCCGGATTCGTGCGGTTAGTTCTTTGATATTATTGTTTAGAGTGGAACTTATACCTGTGTGCTTTCTTTTCAGAGAAGCTGCCTGTGAAGTTTTCTTTGAACGAAGCAATGAAGATCCATCCATAGCCCAAATGATTCACATGCTAGTTGAAAGAGTAAGTGTGGCTCCAACATTTTGTGCCTATATGAAGTTCCTATAGTTTTGTTCGCTTGATGAAGTGTCGTGCCGGGCGGGATGGGTTTGGCGCGGTGCCAAACCAATTTCGCACCAGTTGTTGAAGTGAGCAAACGACGAGACTGTATCACATCCTTAGTATAATTCGTTTTGCGCGAATTGTTGCCGTTTACCCACCCCAACAACCGGTGAAGAACGGGATAAGCGCCACGCTCTCACAAGCGGTCTCTTTTACTTATTTCGGAAGAAACATCAAGAACAGTGTTCCTTAGTATGCGATCTACAAACGGTTACGCCAATCGACGTATACTTATTTTTTAGTGCCCACTGGATCTCCGCAAATTGATGTTCGAGAGCATTTTGCTTACAGGAGGCCCTACACTCATTCCTGGATTTCTCAGTCGACTGAAGGTTTGCATAGTTGCCTTTTATAAACAGTGCTTGCCATCATTTTTAACCTCGAATTTTGTGGTCACCAGCTTGATCTAAACTCTTCCAAATCATCCTGGAATGTATTTTTTCTTGGGGTCTTAAGATGATTTGCTAATTCAATTTCGGTTCGGTGGTGAATTTTGCTTCCGATACCCGTCAAGTTATGTTTTAAGTTGGTAATAAGTCAGGAATCAAAGAACGCTTATCTCCTTCAACTACTTTGTTTGGCTTGCTTGCTCCGATGTTTTCTAGTGACTGTCTATTCTTTTCAAAAAAGATATTTTACGGGATATCAACTCCTACATAGTTATATTATTTTTGGTCCAATAAGATAATACTTTTACTTAGAAAATTTACTCTCCTGATATGTTCATTGCTCAAGATAAACAGAGGAGTTGGATCAAGATGAACAGCGGGCTGAGAAGTGACCTGTGATTCAAACGTAATGGGTGAATGCTAATCGGCAATCCTGTCCTCCGAGAGACTCTGACTATTAGTAGAAAGGACCAAAACTTTTCCAGCAATATAATTGTTTTTTTTGCCAGCAAAAAGTCTTGTAGAATTTGTTCGTTTTAAGGAAGAAATCGCCGATATCGCGAAGACCAGTCCAAGTAAAATGAAGCAATGCGAATCGATTCGTTTCTACAGATTCCCGAATCAGTCTACCGAATTGTATCTGGGATGGCTTGGAGGTGAGGTTGTGTTATTTTTGCAAGATGTTAAGCTAGAAAATAAGTGGCGCAGTTTTGTTAGTCCGTTTTGTGGGGTATAAGGCTAATGCGCGTATAATGCGCACCATCGCCTGGAACACTGTGAGTCTCTCGGGCAAGAAATGTCTATTAATTTTCGCTTATGGAATCGTCAGTGGTTTTAAGTCGGTTTCTTGTCATTACTTGCTGTGGTTTCATCTTCCATTGATTCGAATAGCCGGATAATCATATCGAATAAGAAGTGTTTGAAACCCATCACATGATCAGAATATACACGGGGGGGGGGGGGCAAAAAAGACACTTCGGCCGAGTCACATATCAGTAAGTTTTCGCAGCCCAGACAGAGGACGTGGATACGAGTACCAGGGCGGAAGATACCCAAGATGTTCCTCGATAGCAGGAGCAGGCGTCCATCGCCGATCA